TTACAAATTTTTCAATCCCTGATGGCAGTACACTGGTCCTTATTTCCTGTTGTGCCTTCTGTAGCTCTGCGACCATAAGGCCGTTAGTATCCAGGGGTGTAACAGTCGGAGATCTGACCAGGGACCCGGCCTTGAGTGTTTGAATGCACTGGATTCTTCTTTCGTTTTGCATTGCAGAGTTTACGCTCCGGAAGCCGTGTGCCGACAAATAACTGTCAACCCATCCGATAAGTTGTTCTATCGTATTCTTTTGTTCTTCCATTGTCTCGTTTATTAGATTTCCGTTTTTGTATATCCGAATAAACCTATATCTTTTTATCACTTTCGTTGTCTTTATTATGTCCCGTACGCCTGTCCATCCCACTACCGTACATTCTGAAGTACAGGGCCTTTTAGACCGAATTTTCCAATCGACTGGACCGTCTGAGTTCGAGCTTCCCTCATCCCCTTCCTTCACTGTCCGTGGCCTGACGCCCGCTACTCGCTCGGTCGCTACAGGGGTACATAAACTACGTCCGCGATGTAAGGGGGTCTTTTGGCCAACCAATCATCTCTAATTAGATCTTAATTTTTGGCCCCATCACAAGGACGAAATGAGAAGCTAATCATTCTCTTTCTCCCTCCACTAAGTGCACTCTTCCCCGCCGTTTCATCGCCTTTTCTGCCCGTTTACGATGTGAGGTTGTCCGTGAGCACTTGCTTATTCGTAACCTCTTTAGCGTATTGTAATGCTCCGTGTGCCTCTGCGTAAAAATATTCTGAGGAAAGTGCTTTTTCCATAATTTGTCTCTTGCGTGATCATTTTTTCAAGTTTTTTCGTTTTTTTGTGTTAAAGTTCTTACAGAAAACATCTACCGAGGAGAAAAGTCACAAAAATTTCTTATACCGCCGCAGGATTCACTTTCAATATCCATGGGACTGAAGTCAGGAACCAAACTGAAAGTTCTGTATGACGTTTCACAGTACGGAATGTCACGTAAGTGGCATTAATCAATTCAGGATTTTGCCTGACTTACATAAACTCTCGTGTTGTCAAAAAGACAATAAAATGTTAATGATTTTATGGATCATATAAAAAGCCACCATCAGCCGCTACTCTGGTCTGCCTTCGTTGTTCTTCTACATTTCTTGCAACCATTGTCGGTTTTTCGGTTGCATTGTGCGCAGGCAGGTCTGTAGCGACCCTGGCCGAGATGAGGGTTAATAACGCTATACTATGCCCCGTCTAGTCCCCAGTAAGAAAGAAAGGCGAGCTCCTAAGGGGGGCAATTATTTGTAAACGATAGCAGACGATATTGACAGTTTGGGAACAGCAG